ATATAAATGAGGTTCCAGCTGTTTTGACACCACTTGGCATTAGCATAGATACGAGAATTGGACATGTCTTGTAGGTTTTGCGATGTGTTGCTTGTGTTTATTGCTATTTATGCTACGGTATATACACAAGTGTTAATCATGGAGATTAGTTTTTGCTTTATATATTATGATGCTACAATGCCATGCAATGTAATTGGTGATAGGCTACAACATTTATTAAAGAACCACATTTTTCTACCTCTTCAACACGACTGTTGCCGAGCTGCACGAGGACAGCCGGGCACGGACTTGCGGGAGACGGAGCTGTATTTCCAGCAAGCTGTTCTCTCCGTGGTCTCTGACTTTCTCTAGCTGGCTAGGAAGCGGCAAGCCAAAGCATTGTGCTTGTAGGTGCTTAAACAAAAATCCTACAGCCTTTTTCCTAACATTTGTGGCTCCTGTAATGGTCTGGTGATGCTGGTTATAAGTGCTGGTTGGGCAAGACGGTGGTCATTCTTGCAGGGATGTGGCATTGCAGAGCATGACATGTTAATGGCTTCCTTGTCTTGTTTTTTAACTGTTACTCAACCGCTTGTGCAAAACAGTTTTCTGAAAATGCTTGTAATACTCGTGCTTTATTTTATTGTGTTAAGACTTTTTTGTCCTCTTTCCTCACCTTATGAGGGTTAGACGCTGATTGCTTTTTTCTCCCTAATATTATCCAGAATCTGATGGACTACAATCTCATGTTTAGTTTACTAATTTGTATTGAGATTGTAGTCCATCACAGGAGCGAGCTTGGAGCGGTGACTACTTTACAACACACACAGGGAGCATGGTGAACAAGCTTAGTCACCCTCCAGAAGGAAAGACAGTGTTGGCACCAATTCAGAAATGATTAGAGGATCGACAGCCGAGTGATAAGGTGGCTACATTTTTGTTAATAGTTATGGTACTTGAATGTATCTTTAAAGTTTAACCCTCGAGTTTAGTGCCAATAAAAGGGTATCGCTTAAACTCCAAACTTTCTGTGCCAATTGATAGCTGACACGGTACAATACTTGACTACTGATCTTTAAAAATGGAACTAAGATTTGTTTGGGTTGGTTTTTTTTCTTGTAGGAGAAAACCAAGTTCTGCCTTCCCAGTTCTGAGACACATATTCGTAGGTGTATCTGGAAGTGTTGAGCATTTTATCAGCTGTTAATCCTCTGAGGATCACTCGGCTCCAGTGACCATTCTGGTTCTATTGGCTTGTGTTGGTGTTCAATGTGCATTTGCAAGGTTGTGTTTGTACAAATGCTTACCAAGGGATTTAATGAGCCAAGACATGTTCCGTTTGATGCAATGCAGCTTTAACCCTATGGTGTCCATGTGGACCTTTTTGGATTTGTGCTTCGATCCTATTCCAATTTTTTTTGTTTTTCATTAAAGCCGAAGTGATGACACCAATAATGCGTTCATGTGGACTGGGTGACCCCCTTCCTCTTCTAGTGATTAGTCATTCCTTTCCTCGTGCTGGTTAGAAGGTGACTTGTAAACAAACTGCCACATGGTGCTCGTCCCCTCCCATCACTAGGAAGTGGGAGTGGTGATAAACCCCGCCCCCTCTGGCAGGTCTGTTCAGCTCCGACACAGAGCCATGTGCAATACCGAGCTTTCCACCCACTGAATACATGCCGTTTGCATCTGATCCTGTCCTCTCATTATACTGCTGGCCAGTTACATGTCACACAATACCAGTGGATAGGATTCTGTAATATGATTGCTTTACAGACACTTTCAGTGACATGAAGTCAATCTCATTTGTTGTAAGGTGCTGCATCCCCATCCATTGTTATTACTTTTTGGTGTGCCTTTTATTCATATTAACCTTTTATGTCCTTTTTTGGATAGGTTTTAAAACTGTATAATTGACTACTTTCCATCTAAACACTTTTTCTGAATGGTAGACTAAAGCGGCCACTAATTGCTTTTGAAAAAATGTTTTTGGAAGGTCTGTTTGATTTTCTAATACTAAATGGGGTCTTATCAGCAATCCTTTTACCTCTGTGATGGGGGAGAAAAAAATGAAGGAGCAGGATGAAAAATTTGTCTTAAAATTCTAACACTGTATTTTGTTTGGGAAACTTTTTTTCCAATATTGAAAGTTAAAATGAAATGTTAGACCTTTTGTCAAGTCTCTGAGGGCAATATCCAATGTTCTGATGAGAGTTTTTGAAATGAAATGGGGGTCCCTCAAGTAGTGTCGGTGGCTTCATGTCAAGCTGTTGGATGCATGAAACATTACACATACAGATTTTCTCCTTGGCTTTGGTTTCCTTACTTTAAAAGGGAAAGTGAAGTTGCAGCTATTACGTTTGCATCTTTTTCATTAGACTACATGAAGACGTTTTATGAAGTTCAAACTGCAATTTATGAATATTACAAATAGTTTCGCTGTGACGGTAGCAGCTTTTGCTGGAGGTGTTGAGGATGGGTTTCTAGTAGTATTCTCCATATGAGTGCAGCACTACTTGCCCTGAATGCCGAATGCAGCCCTAGAATGGCCATTCACAGTAACATTTGTAGTAGATGGAAATCTGCAGACTTGAGGTTCACATGTAGGAGCCTCAGTCTGGTGGTCTTGATAAGACTTTAAGATTGCCTGGCAGACTGTAGCGTATACATTTTAGGGTACGAGGCTACTTCCCATGTTTGTCAGTCCATGTAAACTTTGACTTTCTTACTAGAAGGTTTTGATCTGTGAGCTTTTCTGTGTGTTGGTCTGTGGCGGCTGATGGTTGCGTATGAAGAACTGGGGTGCTGCTGACTGCAGTTTTGATGGAACATTTTCTTTCCGTCATGCTGACTTGCATAGCATGGAATCTGTGTTGGAATATATGAACCATTTATCTGGCTGCACTCCAGTTCTTTGTCTATGTGGAGCCTTGGTCTGTGTTTGTTGTGCAGCGTCGTACAGCCTGATGTTCTGCACGTGTCTACTACTTAATACAAGTTACTGTCGCATTGATTTGGGTCTGCTGCATTAGAACTTCAGTATCTTACTTTATTTATTTTTTTTTGTCCATAGGTTTGTGTGGAGTTTGAAGATGAACCCTGGGAGAACAGAACGTGGATTGAGATATATGGGCCACAAGTCCAGTTATTTTTGGTTGAGCACAGCCTGGCAGTGGCTGATCGCCAATGCCCAAGTAACCCCTCGGTATCTGTGCTCTGCCCAGCAATGGTGAGTGTCAACTCAAAGAAATTGCCTCCAGAAGTGAAGCCAAGATATGGCAAACAAATCCTTGTATGCCTGTAACCTTCATTATAACTGATTATAAAAAGTATTTCCACAAACCTCATCAGTTAACTTTTTTATTGCCTTTCAAATTTAATATCAACTAGAATAAGAAGTGTTTCATCTACTGCAGGGCCAGACAAATCCCAGGAACCTGGTAGCCAATGCTTATTAAAAAAAATGGCAGCCGGTGTCTAACTTCTAAAGGTTTTTCCTTATTTACAATTAAATAAATCCTGTTGGCTCCTGCACTGCACAGACTGGCTCATGAATTCCATATAGATTTATCTACCCCGATCTACTGCCAGACTAATATTTAACATAGTATTTTTTGGTGTGTTTTATACTTATTGGCACACTGACTTTTTTTTTTTTTCTTTTGTAAACAGCAATACAAGACATTGGTGGGCAAAGTGTCTATGGAACCCATGATGTGCATACAATTTCTTGGGGACAAGCACAAGGTCTTCATGGATTCAGAAGTTGTGAAGTCTGTACGGGTAATTCAATGTTTTAATCCAGTTCAGGGAGAAGCTTGAATGGTTTAATCAAATTTAGGGAGCAAACTTTTTTGACTGTAGGTCTACTTTAAGGTACCTATACATGGGTCAGCCAGAGAAGGTTATTTTAGATCTTGTTTCTCAATCCATAATCCCATTTTTGCATAGGCAGCTTCCTGCATGTTGGGTCTTGTATAAGAAATGCCCAGATGGAAGATGCAGCATTGGAATGGGTTATGGCATGTGAATAGGTCTCGTGTGACCTCTACTAATGTCCCCTGAACAATATAAACCTATCCAGTCATGGCTGAATCTTACTGCTTCGACCGGGCCCTCCTTGACTCAAGAGGGTTAATAAAAATTGACTAGTGGTCATGAGTATGTTGTAATGTAAAAAAGTGGATGTACTTTTGTGGCTGGGTCACATGCCAGTGTTGCTTAGTGGAAGGGTAGTGCGGTCCCTGGACTAACTAATTTATATGCCAGTGTCGTCACGGCACATATGTACTTGGAACTCTTGGTGATTGAGTGATCTCTCCCTGGACTTCTGCACTAGATGGTTTATTTAGCCAGAAGTATTTTCCTTTATGGTTTACGCCCATTGGTTAAAAGAAGCGGCTCTTCGTGAAATGTGTAGTAATTGTCCTCCAACTGGACTACAATTTGAAAAGACAGCTGATACACAGCACAGTGTAAAAAGTATTCTTATATTAAGATAATATGTGGAAGGATGCAGCTACATCCTTTGCTATTTTAAGATTGTTTTTAAAAAATACGTATATGTTTAAATAAAAAAAGTTGTTATATTTTACAAAAACTACTTTGTGTTCCTTGGAGTACCTTTTTAAAAGTCTGAACTTTTTCTTTAATATAAATTATTGGGATGTGGTACTCTTTCCCCTCCATGCACACTTCATAAATTGCTATTGGGTAAAACGTTTAGCTCCCAGAGAAATATGAAGTTGTTTGGCTACATTTGAGTCTACCGAGTTGATGCTGAATGGACGTCGGTCTCTCTATACTTGATATTGAGTAGCTGTTCAACTTGCACTTCGAATAGACGTTTTGGTCTATTTCAGGCAAATAGAAATGGATGGATAGCTATAGCAATGGATATGGTCTGCTTTCTTGCCAATACCAGCAAATTTCTGTTATTGAGGAATAGACGCAGTCAAGAATATTTTCTTTAATAAGAATGTAATAAAAATCTTTACCAAGATATGTGGTCAGCGGTGTGTTCCGGCGGTCTATAACGCCAAAATAAACACAACCTGCTTACACTTCTGCTTAAAGATCACCTGATTATCTTTAGACCATCATCAGAAATAGTAACATTCCATTAGACCAAAGATAGGTACTTGTATATCTTCTTAAGTATTGGCTGCCCTGATTGTGGACAGTGTAGTACACATAGTGAAGGCCTCCAGGGTTTGACTTTTTTTCATTTGAATCGTACGTTCTGCTCTGGTTCCTGGAGCCCAGAGGCTTTGTAGAGCTTTGGGTGGGATAAAGTTTCCATTCCTAGGTCCACATCTTACCTGACATACAGACCTCATTATTGGTCTCAGCTGTCCACAAGACTTTATATACATGAGCTGACTCGGGGATCTGTCGTTGGGTGAAAAGGCTGAATGCTGATGGAACACTAAAGGTAGAGGAGCTGCCTGTTTGTGTTGGGGAACCCGTTAGGGGCACGCACCCTGTTTGTCAGGAACCAGTTTGAGTTCAGTTGGTGGCTCAGAACAGCAGATGTTTGGCTTATGTTATACACCTGCTGTACAAAGCTCTCCTGCATTTGTTCCTGGGTGTCCAGTCTCATGCATGGTTGACCAGTGCTGATACCAGTTGAGTTGGTCCCTCTTACCATAGGCATTTGTAACAGTCCACTCTTGATTTAGCTGAATACTAGACCAGTACTCATAGGTGCTTATTTTCAAAGTAGCAGCAAAGTGAAATTTATATTTTGTGTGCTTTGTAGAGAGAGAGGCGCTTCCCTAAGATCAGTCTATCTTTCGTAGGTCAGTTTATTGATATTTTTTTAATCATTAATGGGTTTTTTTTCCCCCCAGGATCGGGAGAGCTTGAAGCAGTTTATGCATGGAAACAGGACTTTTAACAAGTACTTTCAGGAGCTAATAAGAAAAAATGTGGATGAGAGCCGCATATTGCAAGGTGAGGTCACTTTTTATATTGTATGTGTAAAAGATGAGTAATGAACTACCAGTACAAGTCTGTTTAGTTGGTAGTCTTGTTTGTCTTTCTCAGTTGGAATCAGCAGTTTGTGTAGCTTTGTACGAGTTTGCGGTATGTGAACAGGTTTTACTTCCTCTTAAAGGTGCCAAGAATTTAATTGGGACGTCTGTACAGGTTTACAGCATGAGTGAAGGAATCCAATGGTTCACTGCCATGGTGGTAAATACCAACAGCAGCGTTCGCACTCTGCAGATTAAATGTGATCAGGTACGTATCGATAAATGGTCGTTTTGGTTATCAGCCACTTCACTTTGTATAGGAGGCCCCTCTGTGTGTCTTCACACCGGATCTGACCCCTCAAAACCTGGGGTGCCATGTAATGGGAGTATTGGCCAGCTTCCAAGATGCTGGCCCTATCACTTGGTCTTAGTTCTGATAAACCATTATGCATATGTTCTGTAATCTATTAAGATATGGGAGGTGGAATTTTAGTATTTTAACTATACATGTAAAAGTAATCTTCATGGTCAGTTTTTAAAACATAAAATTAAATTTCTATGTGTAATTTGCTAATACATATGTTGATAGCCCAGCCAGAATTGCTCATTACCCATACTGGCCCTGCTTACAGTGCTGCTCGGTGTTGTGCCTTGTCTATGGTTGTCTTATCTATCTTTAAAGTCTACCAGCTGTGTTCTAGGCTCTACGTAGGGGTAGCCAAACCTCAGTCCTCCTGCTGTGTTCTAGGCTTTAGGTCGGGGTAGCCAAACCTCAGTCCTCCAGCTGTGTTCTAGGCTTTACGTAGTGGTAGCCAAACCTCAGTCCTCCAGCTGTGTTCTAGGCTCTAGGTCAGGGTAGCCAAACCTCGGTCCTCCAGCTGTGTTCTAGGCTCTAGGTCGGGGTAGCCAAACCTCAGTCCTCCCGCTGTGTTCTAATCTCTAGGTCGGGGTAGCCAAACCTCAGTCCTCCCGCTGTGTTCTAATCTCTAGGTCGGGGTAGCCAAACCTCAGTCCTCCAGCTGCGTTCTAGGCTTTACGTAGTGGTAGCCAAGCCTCAGTCCTCCAGCTGTGGTGAAACTACAAATCCCATAATGCCTGAGGCTGTCAGTCTTGCAATGCCTCGTGAAGCTTGTAGTTTTGCCACAGCTGCAGGCACGAAGTTTGACTGAGCCTGCTGTAGGTCCTATAATGGAACCAAGCAGCTGCATATTGTTTTATTTTTATGACAAAAATATAAGCTATTTAGAGACCGTCCTTAGAATTTATAACATGTGGCAAACACTTTCAGAGTTCTCGCACTTATGTTGGTGCCTGCGACCAGTTCACCACCAGGCTCCACAAGTCAATTTCAAAATCAAAGGAGCCGGGTGTAATATTTGGGCCGAGCGGTGACTGCCCTCCTGTCAGATGCTGCCGCTTTCTGAATAGTCGGCAGTACAGATTTCTTCATCCGTGCTGTTTTTGCCTGGATGGGGCATGCGAGTAAGGGCTGAATGAGAGAACTCTACACGCGTATGGGTAACCTATAAATAAAATGCAGTAATCAAGGTGCAGCAGCCCTGCGTTTTGGAGATCACTGAAAGAAACAAATATCAGCTTTCACGATTGTGCTTTAGGATAGTGGTCATTATAAAATGTATTGTATTTTATTTTTGTAATGTTGACATTTTTACTTTTTGTTTTCTTCTAGGTCCCCAGTTTAACTATCATTGACCCGTCATTAATTCATGTGGAGCTTTTGCAAACTATTGTGGATCAAGGTATGGCTTGCTGTCTAACCATTTGTGTATGTTTGCTGTCACGTTCTTATATCTGAAGGTTTTACACCCGTGTGTATTAGCTCACTAATCTTTGCTAATTATTTTAGTGAAAATCAAGAAACCTCACAAAAGGCCAACTTCAGAAACAACTCCAGTGAAGCCTGAAGCAAAGCAGGCCTGTGTTGAACCAGTAAGTGAAGTATTTGACGGCCAGGTATCGGTAACCTCCTGAATTAGTGTAGATGCCAATATGTGCCCTTTTACCTTTAGGCACCGGTGAAGGAGCCTGCCCAGAAGCCAAGCTTCATTACCTATTCCAGAGATGATGGGAAGACATTGGTAGTGGTGGACAACCCCAAGTCTTCAGGCAATCCTCTTCTGAACTTCATGAAGTCAGCTGACAAAGGAGTAAGTGAACAAATTTTAGGGATCTACATTGTAATATCTTCTTGTGTGTATGCATGTCTGTGTTTTTTGTTATAAAAAGCAAGCTTTCCAAATCTCAGTCAATCTTAAAGGAGAACTATGAGGTGAATGGTTTACACTCACCCTCATAGTTCGAGCCGACCAGTGATATTGAAACTGCCACACGCCGGCTCTATACATCAGGAAGTGAACGAACACATACCACCATTTGCTCACTTCCCGATCATCTCCCTGCAGAGAGCAGTGACTCAGTCACTTCACCCCGCAGGGATCCCACCCTCTCCGATCTTCCAGCACTGACTGGAGGAACAGATGGGAGAGGGGGCAGGCAGAGCCTGCTGTCAATCAGCCAGCGGGGTGGATCTCGACCGTGTTGTCTGGATCTGTCCCGGCTGCGGCGCTCAGTGTATATACTGAGCTTTGGGTCACGGGAGGAGGTTGGTACATGTCCTCCTGTGACCCTAAAGAGAACTATGGGATAAAAAGGTTACCCCATAGTTCTCTAGTATTAAAGGAAAAGTGTCAACTTGTATAACTTTTAACTGTACATGTAACATTTAATAGCATTACATTTTGGTATAAGTACTTATAAATGTGATGTTTACTTGTGTCTTTTACCTAATAGTACATTTGGGAAGCGGGGCAGGCAGTGTGTTGGGATACTGACAAAGCATGGTGTATTTAGTTATATATTACATTTTATTTTACTATAGAAAGCGGTCTCCAAGCAGTCTGTCCCTGTTGGATTCGGTGAAGCGTTGCTAGGATGTACAGCTACAACTCCCTCAAGCCAAACCCAGACTCCCCGTGCTACCCCACCACAAGCCAATTCTCCACCTAGTTTCGGAGCTGCCACACCTCTAGGGTAAGGACCTGTCATTACTGGATATACTAGTATGGGGGGTTTTCTTTATTTATTTTGGTGTATGTAGGGTAAGTGGATTTTGGTGTGATATTGCTGGATGTCATATCTGTAGTTTTGCCTACAAAATAGGTTAAATGTTTATAATCCTATTCTAAAGACTGATTTACTTGGAGACCCTGTCGCCCCACCATTTATTTCAACAACAATTTTCCCAAAAGATTATACAGTATGCACATTTAACATATTTTATGCAGGTTATTTGCCTATAAAACCCTCTTGTTTAGCCGGCTATAAAACCCGGAGACTGCTGCTGGGCGCTGCCATTATGGATGTGACGTCGGCAGACTCTGCTGTCACTCAAGTGGCACTCTTTAGTATTTCCCTATAGTATTGCAGCACAGAGTGCTTTGGTCTGCAAGAAGGGAGGGGTGCTGGGGAAATGACTCTTCTGAACTAGTAAGGAGCCACACGTCAATACAAAAATTGTTTGTGACAGTCTGTTTTTCATTTGAAAAATGAAGTGGTGCAATTTTTGACTTGACCTGGTGCTTACTACTATGCGCTCCGATTCTGAAGGCCATTTTGTTCCTGGTTCAGTAAATCATATGAACTGAAACCTTTTAATAGGAATTGGTGATTTTGGAACTGTGTTCACTTATTCCTCGAGTTATCATATGTTTGACAAGGACACTTTAGGAGAGTTAGGGGGAATGTGTTTGTCAGTAGTGAGCACTACACTTTTTATGTAGGAATTTTTTATTTTTTTTTGCAGGAAGTGTACCCAGGATTTACCAGGTGAAACCTCAGTCCTGAACGGTGAAGAGAAGAATTTGTTCCTAAGTGTTGCAGCATCTCAAGGCAATAAGGGTCTTGGTTTTGGACTGGACAAGTCCACCAGTCCATTCTCAGGTGGAGGTTTCTCTTCCTGGGCCAACAAAGCAAATGGGGAAAACGGACTGAAATCTGAAAACCTCTTTGCTGCCTTTACAAAACCCTCAACAGTTTTCCCCAAAGGCTTTGAGTTTTCAGTTGAGAGATTTCCAGAGAACACCCTGTCGGTGACAGATTCTCCAAAGCTGGCAAGTGCTGAGGCTTGCAAGAACATGACGTGGAAAGCAGATAGTAATCCGCGTCTGTTTAGCTCTACACCATTAGCAGAATCAAAACCTTCCACTACTTTACCAAGTCTTGCCGGCGATATCAAAAACAAGCCACAAAATACTCCTGAGAAGCCTATCAAAGTTGAAGCTTCGTTTTCCAAGAGCCCGAGTAAAAATGAAGGGGGTAAGTCCATACTTGAAATTCCTAAAATCGTAAGCACTATTATGATCATCTGTATTCCAAGAGAGGGAGGAGGATACAGTAGATAAGCTCACTCCAGGTAAAACCTAGAGACTTGGCAGGCTAAAGCACAGCTAGCTTTAGATGAAGGACAACTATAAATATCAATCTAACAGGGTTATTCACAAAAGGGTGAAGAGTTTGGAGGAGACAGGAGAAGTGAACAATCTGGGACAACACTGATTTGGAAAAATTCTCCAATCCAGCTCACTTTGCCGTTCAGCTATGTTGTCCTAAATTGTTCACTTCTCCTCCCTTCTCCAAACTCTTCACCCTTTTGTGAATAACCCTGTTAGTATTCAGTATGAAACTGGTGGGAGGCATTTCAGACCTTAATCCTTTAAGGGCCTTGTATGCCACTGTCAGGAGCAGTTTGCAGCAGCTTCCAGTGTCCTGCGGTGCTCAAATAGTTGGCAATTTTGATCAGCAAAACTACAATACCTCCTGGTTGTGTCAGAACTTTAGCACCAAACTATTCTGTGCAGGTCTATGTGAATGTGTGTAAGGTAATGGGAGTGAGCAAGCTTTTGGTTTGCGATATCACGAGTGCCCACAAGTAAAGTAGAGGCAGTGTCTGCACTTTATACCTGTTGGCGGCCTGTTTTGTCCTGTGTGAGGGTGGGATTTTTTTTTTTCTTAGTCACTTTAAGTAATCTTTTATGCTTTGTTTCTAGTGACCTATCCAAGGTCTATACTAATGGACCCACAAAAGCTGAAGAGACTTATGTCAAGTGGGGACTGCTTCGTGCAGGATGGTTCCTGTAATGACATCGCGCCTCATCTTCACAAGTGCAGGGAATGCCGTCTGGACCGATTTGGAAGGAGCAAGGAACAGAGAGATTCGGCTGTCTTCTGTCGCTTCTTTCACTTCCGAAGGTAACGTACTTTCTTTTTTCCCTGCATAATGTGAAATGTCCATTGTTCTATACCTTGGAACAGGCTGCACACAAATGAAGGTTCTGCATTTACAAATAGTCCATTTATACCCTTTGACTCGGCTATCCCTGTGAAGAGGTATACGCTGAGATTAAACTTGCTGTGCAGAACGCCTTTTTATGATGGCCTCCTAAAGTAGACCTTGTATGAAATGTAGCTTTATGCTGGAGATGCCATAACAGTGTGTCTGGAATTGCCTTTAGACTGATTTCTGGTTTACATTTTCTGCTCCAGGAGACAAAAGCATATGAAAACAGCATCAGGCCAGAATAATATAAATGGGTGCATTCATAACATAAAAAAAGCTGGTCTTACTCAACACCCCTGTTTGGTGTATTCTTTTTTTAATTTGTCCCACCTTCTAACTGTTGCTTTGCTTGGACAGCTTGGTTTCCATGTAAAGGTGGGAAAATATAAATAACTGCCTGTGAAATTAAAGATGTTACATACTGAATACTTTTGCAGGTGTATTATACAGGTAACACAATACATAATTTTTCCTGTAGTGGTCCTTTAACATTTCCTACTAGTGAATTTTAACTGGTAATGTGTTGAAATGTTAAGTTGGTGCTGGAGTTAAAGGCATGAACGTTTCCTATCTCTCTTCTGTAGGTTGCACTTCAACAAGCACGGGATGCTGCGGGAAGGAGGTTTTCTTACGCCTAATAAATATGACGCTGAAGCAATAAACTTGTGGCTTCCATTACTCAGCAGTGTTATAGGCTTGGACCTAGACACAGCCAAATACATCCTAGCCAATGTCGGGGACCATTTCTGCAAGCTGGTTATGTCTGAGAAAGAAGTCATGGCATCTGTAGATCCTAAAAGTAAGAGCTTTCTAGATTTTTTTTTTTAACTAAACCATTTTCTTGCGTATTGGGGACACCAGTTGATGACTTCCTGTCATTTTTACAGAACCAGTAGCCTGGAAACGTGCTGTACGCGGCGTGCGAGAAATGTGCGACGTTTGTGACACGACCATCTTTAATCTGCACTGGGTCTGTCCTAAATGTGGATTTGGCGTTTGCGTGGACTGTTACAGAATGAAAAAGAAGAGTATTAGTGAAGGTAGGTATCCACACTGGAATGTATTATCAATATGCTAGGACCTTGTGATGTCTGCAAAGACTTGTAGCTACTCTGTCACTACGATGTCAGATCTCAGAGTGGAAATGCCGGTCAGGCTGTATACTTTTCCGGCAGCCATGAGTTGATACAGAGACGTATTACTGCTTCTTGGCCCCTGTAGGTATTATACCCTTCGGGTGGGTTTAATACCTGCTTTTAGGGATGCACCAATACTAGTATTAGTGCCGATTAGTGAGTATTTGGGAGAGTGCTCTTGCTTGCCCAAATGCTCCGATACTTATCCCTCTGACCGGCAGTACCGCAAGGGAACATGGAGTCGGCTTCCTGGCCATCAGCAGCGGGTCATGACTTGATTGGCCAGGAAGCCGGCTTCCAAACCAGTCAGCATTGAGCCGGTTTCCTGGGCAATCAAGAAGCTGGGTGGCGGGTAATGACACGCCGCCCATCTTCCTGATTGCCCGGGAAACCGGCTCCATGCTAGCGGAGGTATTGCTACTCTGTATCAGCGAGTACTGAAAGATAAATATTGGTACTCCATCCCGTAAAAACAGGATTGGTGCTTCCAACCACCCATATGCAGAAGTGAGGACTACCTGTGGTGACTAAGGGCAGCAGTGTTGCGTTTTTAACCTTTTTGAATGTATTGTTTGCTTGAGGTTTGACACTGTCGTCACTGGATCACTTTAAGTCTGGCATCCTTAATCCGATTCTCTGGTTGGACACACTGGTGGTGAGATCTTGGCATTTTTAGTACCTGTGCCTGCACACCTGCCAATACAAGGGGGTCCTTTTCTCCCTGTTGTGATTTTTTTCTTTTCATAGACTGTCACAGGATTGGGGATGCTCAAAAATTCATGGTGTGTCAATGTCCTCCAACTCACCACTGCATCTCTCTGACATGGTCTCTGACATTACTCAGCAGTGTTATAGGCTTGGACCTAGACACAGCCAAATACATCCTAGCCAATGTCGGGGACCATTTCTGCAAGCTGGTTATGTCTGAGAAAGAAGTCATGGCACCAGATTTCATCCATAACTGAAACATTCCTTTAAATGGAATGTCTCCTTCATATAACAGGATTGACTGATGGTTCTCTGTTCATCTCTTATGCAGGCAATGATGGTATTGACAGTTTCTCGTGGTTAAAATGTGCAAAGGGTCAGTTGCATGAACCGGGAAACCTAATGCCGACACAAATTGTTCCAGGAAAAGGTAATTTATTTAGATTTATTTTTTATTTTTTTTACATGAAATGCTAGACATGACACCATACTTCAGAGAAAAGAGAATCTGCATGATTTAAAATGGTCCATCTTTTAAATTGAGCTTTTATGATTTTTATTTCTGCAAATGTCCTCACTATGGGGTATATTTATAAAAATGTTGTAATTGTAATGTCTTCCTTATATTGTAAAGCGCTGCACAAACTGTTGGCGCTATATAAATCCTATATAATAATTTGCACAGCCATTATAAACATTCGCTCTGTGCTAATGGAGGCCAAAATTAACTCTAGTAGATTTTCTTTTCGAGTGTAATATTAGAAAATGCCTCATTATGGCCACTAGATGGAGTTTAGGACTATAGGAAATATTTCTCTCCAATGCTCCTCGGCTCCATCTCATGGCCATAATGTGTTGTTATCCTAATATTACTTTCAACTACAAAACAAAATATACTAAAAACATTGTTTTTGCCTCCTGTTGTACAGCACAAATGGTCTGCAAATTATTTTTTAAGTAGACCACGTGGCTCTGATTCTCCTTTAACATGGATTGAGGCTGCTTTCAACTGTGCTGCATCCGGTTTCTTTTTTTGCATGCAAGAATGCAATATAGTACTTTCATGGGCTCTTTTTGGTAATGACATTGAGACTTATGTTGGGTCAGCTACTGATGCCAGAGCTAGCCAGGAAACTAGTAATCGCAGATGGATAGCTGCAGTTGGCAGCTCTTGTACAAGGGAGGCATTTGTTCGGTATTTGCCCCCAGTTGATATCATCTTGATGATAAATCCTGACAGCCAGTATCTGTTGCCTACACGGCATGAAATCATGTGGAATGATTGGCTTGGGGCTCCAGAGTGGAAATGCTGATTTGGAACCTTTGTGCTTACAGTCATAGTAGTCCATATTCCATGTCTTTAGTGATCACTGTTTTTGTCTTCCAGCACTGTACGATGTGGGCGATGTTGTTCACTCTGTCAGAGGAAAGTGGGGAATCAAGTCCAATTGTCCGTGTTCCAACAGGAACCAAAAGCCTTTACCTAAACCAGCTGTGAAAGAAGAGATAAAAGAGGTATGCAGTCCTACATGCATCTGTTATGTGCCTGATTTTCTGTTTTCTGCACTTCCTTACCACTGTATCTTAATTGCAGAGTTCTTCTAGCACTGAAACCACAAATGGAACTCTACCCGAGCAAAGTAAGCCTGCTACGCAAGATGCTTTACCCCTTTGTAGTAAACCGCCTTCTTCAAGCTCTGGTCCTTTAAGTTGGCTGACGAACCTCCCCAACACAAATGTCAACAAAGAGAACAAAGGTAGGTTGTGGAACTGGCTCATTTTCCGTGTTACGTGTGTTTTTTGCCTCTGCACGCCAAGAAAGAGCTTGATTGTAGGCTATACATGCTTGAATCTACTTTTTTTTTTTTTTAAAGGGAGGTTTTTACACATTTCCTACAGATAACCCATTCACACCGGCAGTGAAGACAGAAAGTAAAACACTACCCTCTTTTGCTAGTTTTGGAAAGCCGGCTGCTCCTCTGCAACCGTTTAGCAGCTCCATTCTCTCTCCTATGAGCAGTAATAGCTCTGGCTTTTTACGGAATCTCCTCAATTCTTCCACCAAGGTAATTATCTGTATATATTTTCTTCACTTTAATTACAAAAATGTTTATAATGCAGACCTATAGACGTATGGGGGCTGTACATGGTAACTACTGGACGCAATGTTTGCTACAGTGTTCTAGATGCTTAGTATTGTCCCTCCTAAGTGACCCTAAACTCAGGCGTTAAAATAAAAAAATACATTCAAGTCACTTAACTATTATCAATAATGTATCTTATTTGTGTATCACTCGGATGTAGATCCTCAAATCCTCTCTGAATTGGTGCTGACACTGTCCTTCCTTCTGGAGGGGGGCTACTTTTGTTCCCCATGGCCCCTGTGTGTTGTAAAGTAGTCACAGCTCCAAGCTCACTCCTGTGATGGACTACAATCTCAGGTTTAGTTTATCAATTTGTATGGAGATTGTAGTCCATCATAGGAGCATTTTTTTGTTTTTATTTTGTTTCTGTAAAGTGCATACAGGAGCATGCATGCTCCTTACTGACCATCTTAATCTGTTTTTGCACACATAGCAAGTTTTTGTTTTTTTACCCATAGTTTAGTTCTAATTTTGGGTATTTCAACTTGCTCCTTGTATCACATGGGGGCTGGCAGAGTCCTCAGCACTGTGTAGTCAGCTTGGCGCTTACCCGGGTCTTTCAATTCTTGCTTCTAATAGGTTAAAGTAGCATTAAAGTCTCCACTTTTTTTCCATGTAACTACTGCTAGCAAGCAGTAGATGTATGCAAAAACATAAAACATTTTGTCAAATAGACAATTAATTCTATCTGCGCCGCTCGCTCCCGGCTGCAGTACACAGGTCTCAAACAGCCGTGCAGGAGGATGATGGGGCAGGCGCATGTGCAGGGCATATTATCGGCGGGGAGGAGAGAGACCCGGTGTAAGTGAATGCACGCTGCTGGGAGCGTGCATGCCGGACAGACTCCATGCGACAGGAAGAAAGAGCAGTCAGCGCTGGATCAGACACCGGCACCAGCACTGGTGGGACTGCCGGAAACAGAAGGAAGAAGATGATTGGATCAAGAAGTTTCACTTAAGGCAAGTCCTTGGAGCCCAATTACAATGGGGGAAAAAACATGCTGACTTTAATGTCACTTTAACAAATCAGCAGGGGAGCACACATGACCAAGCTATCTTAATGGTCTTTACACTTTGGGGGACGTAATTTTAGGACTACAGAATCTGCTGAGCACATTTTGGCTTATTGCTGACCACTTCTGTACTTTTGGTTTCAATAACAGATGATTTATATACGTTTGTTTTTTGTGAGCACGGGTCTGTGGTCATCTCCCTAACATGGAAATCTTTTCTGTTCTTTAGCAAGAAAACAGTGAGAAGAGCACTCCGAAGCTCCTTGATGACATCTTTGCATCGTTGGTTCAAACAAAACCCATGACAGATCCCGTCAGGCGGCCACAGGGGCTTGCAGTCCAGCCCAGCCTCATGGGATTCAATACACCGCACTATTGGCTGTGTGACAACAGATTGCTCTGTCTACAAGACCCCAGCAATAAAAGCAATTGGAATGTGTTCAGGGAGTGCTGGAAACAGGGCCAGGTACATTGCATGACTATGGCTCTAGAAAGATTCAGTCACACTTGTGACTTCCATCCACCTCTTTGTGAGCTGCTGCTTTTGTTGTGCTGTATTAGTAAATTGGCTTTCACTTTGCTCTTGCCTGTTGGCTAGTACGCAGCTCCTGGGACCATAGTAAATTTGGAGAAGTGATAAGGATGTTGGATGGTTGTAGACCAGTGTTAATGCTCCCAAGGGTTTTCTTTGTGCTGGATACACCAAAGATGGTGTGCAGCATCTGAGTTCTCTGGCACAGAACGGTCTGGGCGTTTTTGAGACTATGGGGAATTGCCTCTGTGTTGTACAAATTTTGCATCTCATTTAAACTGCTTGAGGGAAAAGCTGTCTTGACAAATCAAAGTAGCCAGTTAGATGCAAACAGTCTTCACAGCATCTGATTGAATCTTGTTGCTGTGAGACTGCTCTTCATGGGTTGTATAGATGTCACTCAGTGTGAAACCCCACTTCATCCATGTAGAGCGGAGCTCTGATTTTTATTTTTTTCAATCAGTGTAAGGAACAGATCTTACACCAACCATGTACCAAGGAACTTATCAATATAAGCTTACATATTTTCCTGTTCTCTAGCCTTGACTATTGTCCAGCAACTCTTACTGATGCCTGTGGAGTTCAGTGGGCTCTTAAGGCAGTCCAAGGCTAGGCCTATGCAGGCGATTCAAACCTATTGAGAGATTTTTCTGCTAGTTTGAAGTCACCTGATTTTGTATCACCCTAAAAACAATGTGATGCTAATGAGAGAAACCATCAAGTAGCTAAGAAATGTAATTAGTCTCAGTCCTAGGCTGTAGAATGCTCTGCTGTGATCGGATGTCTATATTCGGAACAGGTGTGAGAGGGCTTGATCAGTTTAGAATGTCACCATAGCCCTTAATGATCATTGATGCCTAAAAACAGTGATAGCAGTATAAAAATGAGCGCATCAACCTGTTTTTAGCAAAACATTTTTTGTTCTCTTCCAGCCTGTAATGGTGTCTGGAGTCCACAATAAATTGAACGGCGAGCTGTGGAGGCCTGAGTCATTCAGGAGAGAGTTTGGCGAGCAGGAGGTTGACCTGGTGAATTGCAGAACCAACGACATCATCACAGGAGCTACTGTTGGGGAGTTCTGGGACGGCTTTGGAGATATATCCAGTATGTAGTAGTGTCATCAACAAATCATTTGTCATTCCACTTGTAACAGTCAGTTAACTGCTGTGTTCTTTGTTTTACAGAACGCCTTAAAAATGACCAAGGGGAGCCAATGGTTCTGAAGTTAAAAGATTGGCCTCCGGGTGAAGATTTCAGAGATATGATGCCCTCTCGGTAGGATATTAACCCCTTCATGACTGAGGCCCTTTTTTCAATTTTTGCACCCATGTTATATTCCACATTTTAGGCCTGAAAATGATGTAAAACCCCCCAACATTATATATTTTCTGAATGCCAAGACCCTATAGAATAAAATGGTGGTAGTTGAAAATTTTTATGTTGCGCAATATTAGCGCAACTCCTTATTAAACCCCAAAATTTAGTGACAAATTTAATTAAATGCCCCAAAACACAACAAATTACCCATTTTTTTTAATGAAATATAAAAGATGAGGTTACAACGAGTAAAACGATACCCAACATGCCCAGTTTACAGATTGCGTGCGACCGTGAAACGGCGAAAAACTGCAGTACCCCAAAAAGTCAATAAAAGACACTTTAAAAGCCCCCACAGGTCATCAATTTAGAGATACCCCAAAATACTGGCCCTAGAATTATTGCTCTCACTCCGGCGTGCGCGGCGATACCCAACATGTGTAGCGCGTTCGTCGTTTTCATGCGTAGGCGCACCCGACGCGTGTTTACGTGGCGACGCGCGGGCTCGCGGGGGCGGGGTACTTTTAAAAATTTTTTTTTATTATTATTAGATTTATTTTATTTCATTTTAATTTTAAAAACTGTTTTTTTTTTTTTTTATACTTTACTTTGACTGCTATCACATGGGGGGGCTTGCAAGCCCCCCCATGTAATAGCAGATGGTGGTGACAGGTCCTCTTTAAGGTGATGCTGGGGGTCCAAAAGACCCTCAGTGTCACCTTTACACTAGAAATAAGCTATTGAAGTGCAGATCGCACTTCAATAGCTTATAGCTGGGCTGCAGGAGCCCAGAACTGACAGCCCAGGGACCGGAAGTGATGCAATCTGCATCGCTCCCGGTCCCATAGAACGGGGAGGGGATCGATGAACGGAAGTTCGTCGACCTCCTCCCCAGCTCCCCGCGGACACAAAGATCGCCGGTCCCTGGTAACTCGGTAGACTTAAAATAGAAGCTTTCCTAAAGGGAGACGTCATTGAGTTAGCCAGCAAATGATATCCTCTCCAAACTGTTAAGTTCCAATATTTATGCCAAGCTGGCATACCTTTTTAGTCTTTCCTGTTTCTGCCAATACCATATGACAGCAGTACTCTCTCCCACTTGGAATCAAAGACTTGACACGTGCAGGAAGCAGTTGACCTTTGCTAAAGTTACGAATATGGTGTCTGTATATAGATAAGAAAAGGCAGAACTGGAGCTGCATCTGAGTTTAGCGAAGGTGCGCCATTTGTAACACACCGTACATAAAGCCATACCAGGAACAAGTCTGTTAAAGTGAAGATTTAAAGAGGTATTAAAGAAATGTGAATTATGATTTGCTGTTTTCACGGGTATTTTACATTTCTAAGTTGATTGTTTCTAAAATGTCTTCATATGTATGGTAGATTAATGGAAAGCAACTTTCTTGCAGGTTTGATGATCTCATGAACAACATCCCACTGCCCGAATACACTAGGAGGGAAGGCAAGCTGAATCTCGCCTCTCGGCTTCCCACTTACTTTGTGCGCCCCGATCTGGGACCCAAAATGTACAACGCTTATGGTAAGATTCCTCTTGATGTAGTGGCCGTTCCAGCAGGTGGTATGCTAATGGGGAAGAGTAGGCTGCTCTTTCAGTAACTTGCCAATGTTGGGCTGGATGCTTTTGTTTTAGGTTTAGGCAAAAACTTGAGTTAACGCTGCTATATTATTTGTTATGTAAAGGGAGTTTCTGCCTCAACCATACATTTTATTCCACCATGTTCTCTTTTTATCCTTTTTAATTGTTAGAAAGATAAGGGCTGCACATACTGTAAATAGCAGCTTTATTCTGTACCCACAAATTGCTTTATTCCTTGGTGTGAGTTTGTGTTCACTTAGAGACACCGGTCACCTTGGCCATTCAGGATCTTTTGACAGTCTGCGTTACAACCCCCAACTTAGCACCTTCTCCCCAACATACGCAGTGTCAGAACTCCAAGGGAGCGGTTATGTCACTCTCACCCCTGTGTGACTGAGGCCCAGCACTGAATCATGGAAGGGGGGTGTGTGTGTGTGTGTGTGTATATACAATGTGGATTTGTTTAGGAGTCCACTCCATTGACAACTTGAAAGAACCTCAAAAGTTGGGCTCCAGCCTTAATTTGGAAGGAGCATTGGCTGCCTGTCTTGAGATATAATTTAGATGTGATATGTAGGAAAACTAGGGCTGCAACTAATTTTCATAATGGATTAGTTGGGCGATTTTTGTTTTCGATCCATTAAACGGATAAAAAGCATTAAATACCATCCTTTAATTTAAAATAAATTACACAAGTGGAGTGTTACAAACAGTCTACTTCAGAATAAAACTGCATGCACAATTTTTTGCAATGGCACTGGAATGCGCAGCAGTGCGGGCAGTCTCACTGTGGGTGGGAGGTGCATTTGTGGTGCCATTGAAATTAGTTGCACTGCAACGCACCTCCCGCAGCAGAATTTGTCAGGCCGACACCAAAAATGACTATTTTTTTCTGCCTATTTTTTAAACCTAATTCCTTGTCTGTCTTTTTTTTTTTTTTTATTGTATCTTAAGCAAGTGGCGCTTGAATAGCTTCAGCCAGGGAATGACAGCTGCCAGTAGCAAGATTCCGCAGACAGCCGCTGAATGTGAATACAGCAAGTAGTGCTCTAGTGCAGTAGCCAGCCTGCTATTGGCCATTTCAAATTTCAATAGCAGGCTAGCTATTGGACCCGCCCACTGCTTGCTGTCCCCTCCTCCCAGCGTGAAGAGAGCTAGGGGATCCAAGTAATCGATAATGAGAATAGTTGACAACTATTATCGAGTAGTTGGTTGCAAACCTAAGGAGAACAGTTATGCAAACATCACCTTGTTTTAGATAGAAAATTGCTTATGCCCTTTCCCACAGGTTTAATTACACCAGAGGACCGGAAATATGGGACAACCAACCTCCACCTTGACGTGTCTGATGCTGCCAACGTTATGGTGTATGTAGGAATCCCGCATGACGAGGGTGATCAGGAACAAGGTAGGTGGTCTATCTTTTTAGTCTTATGGTTTTTTGATGCATTCCGGAGCTGGATACTTATCATTATCATTGATTTCTAATGTAACAGAAGTGCTGAAGACTGTCCAAGACGGAGATGCTGATGAACTGACCATTAAGCGCTTTGTGGAGTTCAAAGAGAAGCCCGGAGCTTTGTGGCACATCTATGCAGCTAAGGACACTGAGAAGATCAGGCAGTTCTTAAAAAAGGTAATGTGCTTTTTACATGGGAGGCTTTAGAGGACTAACGTGTAAAAGAAAATCCATGAATGAACGTTGACCCATTGAGTGATATTAAAGTGGTAAAGTAACTGGTTTGACTTAATGACGGCAGTCAGCAGCTTATAATTGACCCCCTTGCTTCCCCAATATGCAGCCTCGAGTGCCTCTGCCTTTCCACAATACATCGTCTAGTACCTGTGTAACCAGTTGCAAGGCCAGATCCCTGTCATGGATGAAGGCTGCCTATAGTGCACTATGTAAAGCCAGCCTGTTAGCCCACTATGGCCAAAGTACAGATTAGCTTTAAACCGCTCTACATTATAATGTCTGCAAATGCTTGAGGGCTTGTTCACACCATTTTCTGGTCTAGATCTGCAGACGCGGTGCTATGCGTGCAGTGCGTTTTTGACGTGTTTTTACCGCATTCCAGTTTTAAACAAATTTGGGAGTGGGGCTGCCTGTATGTTAGGTGCAGTGCATTTTCGAAGCTTTTATGCGTTTCCTGACCGTACAAAATATGACATGCAGTATTTTCTCTGTCCGGACTGGAACGGACTGCGCATGTGAGAACTGCAGCCCATAAAACACATAGGGATGCATTTTGGGTGCAGGAGTGCACGGTTCTGGTCTGGACAGGGCGTATGTACACGCCCTGAAGCCTCACTTACGTGAGAGCCGCACCTCTGTTCTAACACGGCACAGAAGTCCGACACGCCACCCCTTAGTATTCCAATCAAGCCATGTTTATAGGGGTATTAAGGAGCCAGTGTGCCGGATACCTGGACCGGCTCACCAGGGTGCAGAAAGGAACAGAGTCTGATTAGTACAGTTAAGTAGCCTATGGCAAAAAAGAATTCCATGTTCTTGTTATCCAGTCTGACAGCATGACCAGTAAGAGAAAGATGAGGTTTTAATTGTTCCCAGCTTTAAGTAATCATGTTAAATTGTTAACTTGTTCTGTTTCTAAAGGTGTCAGAGGAGCAGGGCCAGGAGAACCCTGCAGATCACGATCCAATCCATGATCAGAGCTGGTATCTAGACAGCATTTTAAGGAAGAGGCTTCTCCAGGAATATGGGGTTCAGGGCTGGGCCATTGTACAGTTCTTGGGAGATGTAGTCTTCATCCCAGCTGGAGCCCCTCATCAGGTAATGGCATCGATTACTTCTCCCTATTGCCTGTGTCTATGAAATGCTGATGTCTTAGGTGTATGGGGCTGTTGTATGACCTTTTAGATCATTTTGCCTCTTTCCTCCACTTCAGGTGCACAACTTGTACAGCTGCATAAAAGTGGCAGAAGACTTTGTATCCCCGGAGCATGTGAAGCACTGTTTCTGTCTGACTCAGGAATTCCGCTATCTCTCCCACACGCATACAAACCACGAGGACAAACTGCAGGTATGTGTATCCACCTCTGAAAACCTGAATGGTGGCATATGATTTTGAAACCGCAGTGTGGTTTTTCATAAAACATTCTCTCTTTAGTCTGAAAGTTACTTTTTAGGGCAATGGTTGTTTGAATTTCATATTGTAAGTCAAGGAATAAGGATTTGTGTGCTTTAAGGCTGAAATGCCAGAAGTGTTTTTTTTTTTTCTTTGTTAAGCTCCATGGCATTAATCCCGGAATCTGCCCAAAACCCACTGCATTGCATCCTTTACTGCTCTCAAAATGTGCTGCCATAGAGCTCAGTGATCTATATCTGGCAATGGCCCATTCAGATCTATTGCATCTGAAGGTGAATGCATGTGACTGTGGGGCATTTCATGTGCAACCCACTAGGATCCACTGTCAGCTTGACAGATGAAGTCCCTCTCTGAAAGGCTCCTGCTTGATTGATCACTTAACCAGTATCATTGCTCATTGTATGATATCCCTGTAACATTGTTACAAACTTACTGATGCAGCATTCTGTGATGGGGCCCCAATGTCGGGCCTTCAGCAAACCTTTACAATTGAATATTCTATTCCCATTCCTCGGATCTTCATTGTGTTCAAGAGCTCTGCGGCCTCCAGCAGAATAGTTCCATCTGACATATTACCGGAGGCCTGGTACCTTACCTAGTGCACGCTGATTCGATATGCCCTAAGGAACTGTTGAATGTAAATATCTGTAAAATATAAGTCAAGGCAACTGGACTTGCTGTATTTTTCTTGTTGCCATGTGCCTTGACTTATATTTTACAGATATGCCATGACCTGGATGAATGAGAACCTTCACAGAAATGTTGAATGTAAAGATTCTTCTGAAGGCTGTACTCTTGATCAGATCACATATCAGAGAACTTAGTGTCCGGACGGGAGAATGTAAATGATCTTTTGCTTTTATTTGTTTTTCTCCCCAATCCTTAAAATGAAAGTAAAACCTTCAGCACTACCAAGAAGTCGAAGCTTTTTAGATCCAGACTACATTGGGATATGAGTCCAGCTGGGTGGTTCAAAAATGGTCTCCGTAACTCCTGAGTATATTCTTTAGTTTGATGTCCTAATAAACTTGTGTAACTTGATTGTAAACCCTTTGCACACACAGGTGAAGAATGTCATCTACCACGCGGTGAAAGATGCAGTGGCAATACTGAGGGCAAACGAATCCAGTCTCGGGAAAGTTTAACACCTTTAGGCCTCTAATAATGTACATTGGATGGGACTTCCTGTGGCAGCTGGCCTATGCCCATCTCTTGTTCTATGAAGCTTACCTCGTTGCAGCGCGTTCCCAGCACGGACTAGAAGGAAACGTTTACAATCCCTGGAATCGTTTGGTGATTGCAAAACCGAGATGAACACCCTGGTTAACGGTTCCTCTTTTTTTGGAGTTGCATTGTCTTACTGCCGATAAGAACGCTGGCGCGAGACCAGAAGACCTATGAGTTGTCAGAAAACCAAAACACTTTTTTTAGACTGTACAAAATATACCTCTGGTTTTTGGAATTGCTCCAAAGACGCCGTGTACATTTGATTTAAATACCCTTTTTTTCCCCCTTAATATTTTTGCAGGCTTATAGGGAGTTTACTTCTAGAAGGGGGTTTTGTCTTTGTTTTTTCTGGCGTGTAGCCATGATGCATTGTTAGAATGAGTGTTCTAAGGAAAATGTACATAAGCAGGCTCTTATAATTTTACATTGATTTAGAACTAGCACTGATGTGCCTGGATTTTGTGTATTGAATTGATTTAGACATATTTTTGTTCAAATGTATTTCTCTTAATTTAATTAACATTTCCTTTTGGCTTATTTACTTTGACCATACAGAAGAGGGGTAGGGTGGGGAAAGGGCAAGCGACCTGTACAGTTAACTGGTCATGGAGTACATTGTAATTTTTTATTCAGTACTTAAAAACAAGGAAAATAAAACAGATATTTGTGTTCGTATTGTTGAGTCTGTGCTTTGTTTTTGCTTCCATCTTGCTTTGCCGTTTCACTGTTCCATTTCATTACAACCTTGGATCTAGATTCATAAATTTAAAGCTAAGCTACAGCGGGTGGGCAGTAGCTAAAAATATCTAAACTTTCTTGGGGAGGAAAAGAACTGAGGAGAATTTATCAAATGATCTATGCTTCCTCTCTAGTGCCGAAGCATTGATCACGTCTTTGCTAAAGGGACTGGAGGGTGTGATGATTAGCCAGAACTGACCAATCATCAGACTTGTTCACATTTTACAAAATTCCTAATTAGGCTGGACTGCATTTTTCATTTGAAGTAGCACTCAAGACCAAATGTCTTTTGTTTTGAAGAGTGGAATGGGTTAACGTCTTTCCATGTTGGAAGATTTCTGTCCTAGTGACATACCCAGAGGGGGATATAAGGGAAATCTCACCCAACAGACAGCCTTTTATAACAATTCTTAGAGAAGGGTTGGAACCTCTGGATAGGTTGTCCCTACTGAAGAGGTGCGTGTTTTCTTCAGGTGTCCCTGAGGCAGAGGTCACCAGGACAAGAAGCATGTAGCAGCAAAATGTAAAGCTGAACACAAGACCTAAAAACACATTCCTAAACATTCCATAAGATTGATAGGTGCCCATTTTTAAATCATTGTTTTAATCATGTCCGTTGTGTGACACAGGAATTCAGATACTGGGGGTAATACTGCCGCCATCAGAAGGATTGGACGCTAGCACTCAAAGTACTACCCAGCAAGCCTGCTTTTTTCCCCCCTAGTAGTCTTGAGGACGTATGTCTTCATTTCTGCTGAGATATCGAAACAATTTTTTTAGCCTTGTTTTTTTTTTCTTCCATTGACTTCAGTCAAACTTCCCCACTACATCACTGTATCAGCTGATCTCTACATGATCACTACCGAAATAGGCATTTCCTTATTCCAACTTAGGAGTGCCTCACCCAGATCCCCCTGGTCTGGACATTGCAGGGCTAGCCTAGAATGTGACCTTTTGTGCCCTGGACTCCACTTGTGGTGCAGAGATCGGGTACTGGTTAAAGTTTTTTTAATGACCGCCTGTTGAGGGAATAGTTGGCAAGAATACACATCTCCTAACTGTCCAAAAGTTAGAGGTTTGGTTAAACTTCAGAAATTGTTGCTGTAAAAGGTTTAAAGTATTTCCACTTTTGTTGTGACAGATTTAGAACTCTACAGCAGTTGCAGTTTTAAACAAAGGTAATTTTTAGTATTCAATTATGAAAAAGCTTGGGTGACATGTATGCCATACTAAATGATTTTAATTTTTATGTTTTTAAAGTGAAGTTACCTTTTAAGTCTATGCGCTATCCAACTCTCCACTTCTGCATGAGAGTCTTGGGAGCTGATGATACTCCAGTTATCTGCAACGCAGCATTCTATCATTGTGAGATAGAGATCTCTAGACAGGCTGATTCGGTGGATGCCAAAGACTAAACTATCCCAGGCCTGGTGGGTCAGGAAACCATCTCTGTAGTTGAGAAAGTTGTGTCCTCGGCTGGCATCCATTGTATGAATCTTGCAAGTCAGACACCTTGTTGGTGCAGTGGACTTGGTCAACAGAGGAATCTCATCTGCCTGCAAACATCTTGGGGCTTCAGGCAGTTTGGCTGTGCTCCTTGGTTGGACCATCCTGTAGGAGTTCAGTTGACAAATGCGACAATTGTGGCACACATCAACCATCAGTGAGGGGTAGAGGGGCTCTTGTCCTGGGCAGACACTTGCCTAGCAGCACCTTGATCTAAGAGAGTGGTCCCTGCATTCTGAGGTGTTCCAGGACCTGTCACAGGTGTGGGACCAACCTTGTATCTTTTGTATCCAGGTACAAGTATTCCTTGGGAAAGCAGTGGGTACTAAGTTGGTTCTGTGGGATCAGTACACTCTAATCCACTCCTCCTGGTAGATGCTCCATGGACACAGCCAGATCACCAAGATCTTCTATCCCAAGGGTTCATCCTGTTTTTCAGGGCATGGTTGTTGAAGCCCCAGTTCTAAGAGTGGCATCTCTGAGATTCCTACAATGCCTAAAGATGGGGATTCTACTTCCTGTAAGGTCTGCTATCGGACGAGGAAGGCGCACTTAGTATGAGTCTTGGCTCTTCCATCCTAGGGGTTTCTTCATGGGATGAAGACTCTCCTTTCTGCTGCTGGGATTGGATCAGCATTTGGCTCTCAGTACTATCAAAGGTCCGGTGTCTGCCCTTTCTATTCTGTTTTATAAACTGCATCTCATTCTTTGATTAATACCTGTGTTAAGTGGGGTCTTATGTGCAACTCCCCCCATCTGTTCCCCAGTGACCCTGTAGGATCTGAATCTGGCTTTAAAAATCATAATTTGAACCCATCAGAGACATTCTTCTCTATACACGCAAGGTGGTTTTCCTTTTAGCTTCACCTCTGAGAGGCCGGTGTCTGAACTCAACTCGCAAGCCATATCTTTTCTCTATCGTCCATTGAGGGACACAGCTCTAAAGAATTTTGAGACGAAGGGGTTATGCTGCTGCCTCCAGGAGGATAAAGAAAAAATGAAAAGCCTGCCACTTTGAGGACATAACCCCTCCCACATTAAACCTGACAGTTTTGCCTGGTGTCCTCAGCAGAATGGATGTCACCTTCTCTTCTGGTTTATTATTTAGTTCTTATTTTGTTCTTGTAGATTCTACTACCAAGAGCTGCTAGTTGATTGATACCAGATATGATTAAGTCCTGGAAGTCTCTAGCTATCTGACAAAACAGAGATTCATCACAGATAAGTTAAATCCTGGAAGTTTCTCTAGTTACACTTGTGCTCATACGTTTACATACGCTGGCAGAATTTAGGATTTCCGAGAATATGAATGATAACACGAAAACCTTTCTGTCACTCATGGGGAGTGTTTGGCTGAAGCCATTTATTATCTATCAACTGTGTTTACTCTTTTCCAATCTAATGACAACAGAAACTACCCAAATGACCCTGATCAAAAGTTTACATACCCCAGTTCTTAATACGGTGTGTTGCCCCCTCTAACATCAATGACAGCTTGAAGTCTTTTGTGGTATGTGTGGATGAGGCTCTTTATCTTCTCAGATGATAAAGCCGCCCATTCTTCCTCCAGGTCCTGTAAATTCTTGGGCTGTCTTGCATGAACTGCACGTTTGAGATCTCCCCAGAGTGGCTCAATGGTATTGAGGTCAGGAGACTGAGATGGCCACTCCAGAACCTTCACTTTATTCTGTTGTAGCCAATGACAGGTCGACTTGGCCTTGTGTTTAGGATCATTGTCATGTTGGAATGTCCAAGTGCGTCCCATGCGCAGTTTCCGGGCTGATGCATGCAAATTGTCCTCCAGTATCTTTTGATAACATACTGCATTCATCGTGCCATCAATTCTGACCAACTTTCCTGTGCCTTTTTGTAGCTGACACATCCCCAAAACATGAGCGATCCACCGCCGTGTTTCACAGTAGGAATGGTGGACTTTTCATCATAGGCCTTGTTGACTCCTCTCCAAAATGTAGCGTTTATGGTTGTGGCCGAAAAGCTCAATTTTGGTCTCGTCATTCCAAATGACTTTGTGCCAGAAGGTTTGAGGCTTGTCTCTGTGCTGTTTGGCGTATTGTAAGCGGAATACTTTGTGGCATTTGCATAGTAATGGCTTTCTTCTGGCGACTCGACCATGCAGCCCATCTTTCTTCAAGTGCATCTTGCAGCAGCCACACCACATGTTTTCAGAGTGACCTGTATATCACCTGAAGTTATTTGTGGGTTTTTCTTTGCATCCCGAACAATTTTCCTGGCAGTTGTGGCTGACAGTTTAGTTGGTCTACCTGACCGTGGTTTGGTTTCAACAGAACCCCTCATGTTCCACTTCTTGATTAGAGTTTGAACACTGCTGATTGGCATTCTCAATTCCTTGGATATCTTTTTATATCCCTTTCCTGTTCTATACAGTTCAACTACCTTTTCCCGCAGGTCCTTTTGACAATTATTTTGCTTTCCTCATGACTCATAATCCAGACACGTCAGTGCAGCACTGGATGAAGGATGCGAGGGTCCGTCAGGAGGCCAGAAACTCATTGGCCTTTTATACACACACACTGATTACATGCAAACAGATCACAGGGGAGGATGGTTCCCTTTAATAGCTATTCACACCCCTTTGTGTCAACCTGTGTGCATGTTATCAGGCCAAACTCACCAGGGTATGTACACTTTTCATCAGGGTCATTTGGGTAGTTTCTGTTGTCATTATGATTGGAAAAGAGTAAACACAGTTGATTGATAATAAATGGCTTCAGCCAAACACTCCCCATGAGTGACAGAAAGGTTTTCGTGTTATCATTCATATTCTCTGAAATCCTAAATTCTGCCAGCGTATGTAAACGTATGTTTCTCTAGTTATGAAGCAGGTTGTTTCTGATCTCAGTACTTATGCTTCGTCATGCAGTGTTCCTGTTTTCATCATTTAATGGTCAGGCCAGTATTACCTGGCGATTCCTGATGTTATGTGGGAAAAAATTCCATGGAGACGCAAGTAAAAGAAAAATAGTATTTACCTAACGGTGATTTTTCATCTTTTTTTTTTTTATTTGACTTTGGCTGTGTGCTTTTAGGGCCTGTTCACACGACGTCCATTTTCTGTGCTGACC